GGCATATTTTTCTTATATTTATCTCTGTAAGGTCTAGTATATTAGCGCTGATCCTTTGTACATATTTTCATCAATGGTTCAGCAGCAAAATTCTTGGCAGAATAAGAACTCTGCAGAAATCTGCATGTTTAGTGTTGCTAGTTTAAGGACCTTAGATAGTTCAAGTTGAAGGAACTGAAGAATTTTAGGCGTCGGAGCCGTGAGGTTATTATGCATGATAGACTGTATTAAATTAGTTTAAGCAAAGCTTTCTTGTCATGCAGCTAACTCAAAACCTCTTAATTTTAAAATAAACAACCAAGAAACCAGTCAGTTTAAATCTCTCTAGATCTCTTACACCATACTCCAGAACTTCTAGGAATACAGGATGAGTCCAGCAACTACCTCTGGTCAGAACAAACTGGTCCATATACCAAGCTCCTCTTGGTCAGTAGGGAAGAATTGCAAAGAAGTTGGCTTTCTCCACATTTTTTGAATGATGATTCTTTATATGAATTCCATTGTTATTTGAAAAGAAGTAGGGACCCAGGAAAGTGCGCAGATAACTTCCTTTGTTTTTAATCATGTATTTGGGCTGATGATTACGATAGCCATTGCTGCTACCCAACAAGTAGCAGTGGGAGTTATTTCTAACGCTTAACCATTCTGTTTTCAGTTTACTACAATAGAGTTATCATTTTAAAGCCCCATAGTTCATTGATTCTGCCTGCACATCTATACATATACATGAACTTTTTTTTTTTAAGTGAGTTGCAAGGAGTGCATAAAATACTGAATACTTCTGTGTGAAGTGGGGAGGGAGAGGGGGGAGTGTGGAGGTTGGGCGTCAAAATTTGTGGCATGCCTGCTTCAAAAACACTGGTGTCATTATACTCTCCGCTTCTCTTCCTCCATTTGTTTTTTGAAGCCATAACTTAGACATCCTTATAGCTGCAGATAGAAAAACGTTTCGATCTTCATCCTGACTTATTTACCCAGACTGTTGGTTTGATGTTTCGCAGTAAGTTATAAAAATTTTAAAAAAAAAAACATTATCACTATGTTATTATTGCTAAGTGTATTATTCTAGTAAACTAATACAGAAAGATAAATTTACCGTTATCATCTTGTGCAGTATGTTTAAAATGACTTAAATTCAACTCTTTAGCTAGGTGTAAATAACTCTTAGATTGATAATCACTTAAAAAATTGAATTTACAGAGAATGCATTTGTAATTAAATCAGAAGAATTGTTGTCCCTTCTGGGTATATCATAACACTATCTGTTGTAAGAAGGTATTTCAGGAATATTTTGAATAATTCTCAAAAAAAAAAATATATATATATATATTTATATATGTTATGAATGTCAAGACAAACTGGAATACAACCAGTTCTTTTTTTGTTTTTTATTTTTTTAATTAAACACTTAACTGTAGTGAAATGAAAAGAAAAATAGCCAAGAAGTGACTACAGTGAAGTTGGAGAATTTTCCCAAATCAGCACTTTTTGCTTTAATCTGTAAATGTGATAATTACATATTTTTGTGAATATACGAATCAGAAGCATTGGGTAAAACAACCTACTTTTCTTTTTTTACTGTACTTGAATTTATATTACGAACATGTTTTTTTAGATGTAAAGCAAAGATAGTGTAGGTACTCACTACAGCATATAATGGGTGGCAGCGGTGAATCGACAAAGATTCCCAAAAATCAAGAATGTTTTTGGGTGGCAAAAAGGTAGATCCTCATCTGTCGTACAACGCCCACAATGATTTGCCAGCTCGGGGTCTACCATTTGCTCATCCTTGCACGGTCTATTTAGCCCTGAGCAGTGTTTGTTTGTTTGAATGTAAGCATGTATGGAGTACGTGTGAGTGAATTTAGGGATGTGTTTGTGTGTAGTGTTGACATTTGAATGGTGGCGTGAATTTGTGTATAGCAAGGTGTGCTTGTATACAGTGATTATGCTTGAATGCAGGTACAAACCCTGACACAGATACACAGAAACACACACTGACAAACATACAAACAGATAAAACAGAAAAACACCTTAACAGATACAAAGACACACAATGACACACATACAGACACACTACCTTTTGGGTTCATGATTGTGGCTTCTCTAAGGTCAAGTGTACTAGCTGAGGCTGTTGGGAGTTAGGCGCTGGTTCTCCCAATACAAACCCCCTCCTCTCTGCTTTCTTAGTCTTTCTAGCTTAGTTCAGTGTGGGAAGGAAATGACCGGCTCTCACTTTCTCCCAGCACTGCCATTGTTAAATGTGACCTTTAATAGTGTGACTGGGCCCCTGTAGACACATTGCGTGTGAGCCCCGGTGTAACCCAACTGTCTGCACCGGCTGCTGCTAGTTTATTACAATGTAATTAATTTTAATTTTCTGTGTCTGTCCTGTTGGTTTATGTGTCCAGCCCAAGGAACTTTTGCTCTGAGTTGCTCATTGCTTGTCCAGTTGCTGGACTTACACCTGTCTAAAAGTACCAACAGTAAGAGCAGTGAGTGGGGGTGGAGTGTAGTGGAGAGCTGATATTCCACAGGTTATCTCCACTCAAGATCCCAGTGAGGCTCAGGAACAAGTATAAATCCATAAGGCAATAATTCCAGCAGGCAAAACAATCCAACAATATCCCAACATCAATCCCAATGACTGGACGACACACAGCATCAGGAGCAGAACTGAACTTTTAATCACTCAACCTTCTTTTAAAGCTTTCTCCCATGCAAGGGAGGGGGTTTACAATCATTAGTACACTATCCAATCATACGTGAGTTGCCGCCCACACATCCCCTCCCCTTAGCCTGACTCATAATCCTAATTATTCCCTGGGTTTCTGGGTGTACCCCTAAACATAGAGGTACCCCTTTAAATATTACATCCCCTGGTAGCCCTGATCTGGGTGAGACACATATCCAAAAATCACCCAGGGTTCGGGAGATTTGTGGAAGTAGTAAAAAGACCGACCGCGCTGGAGGGAACAGACGAAATTGGTTCCATGCGTTTTGGCCCTGTGGTCGGTCACAGAAAAAGGGAATAAACTGCACGAAAGACTTGGGCTATGGAGACAAGGGAGGGTTCACATAACTCCCTTTGTTCGGTAGTTTCTATACGAATTTAAGGGCGGTGTGGAGGTCTCAGCGGTGTTTGCCTAGCCGATTGTCCGATTTGGTTTCCAGACACTCAACGGCAAAACACTGCTGTTCGGGAGTTTAATATGGAACAAAGAACCCACTACACGAATTGCCAATTACCCATTCGCAACATTGTTGCAAACGGTAATTGGAGGCACACTTACTACTGGGGTGGTCTGACTGTTCGGTAGTTTCACTCTCATAATAACTGAATGCTGCATACATTTCACATACATAGGTCACAATTCAACCGAACACATAGGAATAACTGTAATTTTTAGGACAGCCCAATGCCATCCGCTACACGGAGGGATAAGAACAATTTCCTGAATGATTGCTCTCTCTCAGCTCTAATGCACTGGGCACAGATGGATAGGCAAGCGAGATTGTCGGGGGGGGATATACAGGGGGTTCCGAGGTAGGAATGGACATAATGGGGGAGATCTATCAAAGTATTACATGTAGTCTTTTTGAATGTTTACCATTTTTTTTGATGTTGCAAAAGACTAATCGATCTTTCCATCACTTCTTTTTTCCACCACTCTGAATGTAGTGGTCTTTTGTGAAATGGATTTTTCTGCTATTAATGGTGGGATTTAGGCAGACAAAAGCAGACATTTTTTGGTCGATGTTTAGAACAATTTAATAAATATAAAAATAAAAATCGAACACAGAAATAAAAGACTCTTTCCAGAAATCTTCCATTATGTTTGGCAGAACAGGTATACAAACATTAAAGGGACACGCCAGGCCCCTAAAGCACTAAAGTGTTTTATGCGTGAAGAGTGTCCTCTTTCTTTTCACTTTACAAAAAGTACAATAGAAATTGACACTTATGTAAATAAACAGCTGGTCCTTTTACTTCCTGGTTTGATTAGCTCAGTGGAGCAAAACCCAGAGCACCTGCCTTGCAAAGACTTCTCATTGAGCTGCATTGGGTATTCTGTGATTGGACAGACACAGAAAGTCTGGGCGGGGTTAGAAGGGGAGGGCTTACAGACTACAGACAAGAGATCAACAGCTTTTACAATTGTTTTTGAACATACCCCCAATTAAAAAGTGCATAGTAAAATACTTGCTTGTTTTCATCTGGGTTATACTATACAGTGATTTATTAGTAGTAGTATTTGTATCTGGGCAGTAGAGTGCCCCTTAAGGGCAAACCGTAAATTCAAGATGTCGTCTGGATTTGTTCCCAAGACATGATTTGTCAAGGTATGGTTTTTCTCACAGAGTATCAGCTCATTAAAACTATCAAGTTTATCCACTATTAGGGTAAGTCAATGAGTTGTTGGTGATTAAAAGTTAATTTTAAATGTTAAAAAAAAATTGAAATTCACAATAATGCACACAGTTAATTATATAAATATAATTGTTGAATCAATCCCCTGAATTGGATATTACTTGAGTTTATAAAAAGTTGCACACTGCTTATTTGCCGACTTCCTCGGTAATTTGATCAAAGTTAGACATATTGCCAAACCTGACATTTTTGGAAGACAGGGTTGCGAGCACACAGACCCTGCTCATTTTCCTTTCATAATATTTAACATACTCATGAAAAGACCTTTCATTCATTAAGGCAACCCGTAGACATGGATAGAAAGGGAAATAGCACTAAAATAAAGGCTTCCATTTAATATTTTTTTTTTAAATAAACTTTTCAAGAGATTGAATTTTTTTGTATAAACTTAAGTTTTGTCCTAACTCTCCCTGATCACCTTTACTATATTTTTTTGGACTGATCTATATTAGGAAAGGCCCTGGGGAGATAGCGCAGCTAAGCGGACAAGGGCACATGTAGGAGTGTGGGGATAGATGCATGGGATTGGATGGGAAAGAGTCTGTGGGTGGGATTATGTTCTGTGTAAGTTAGTGTGGGGGAGGTCTTACCTCAGTGCCACTTGGGATTCGGGCCAGCAAACAGCTTCCTGTCCTCCTGCTCCTGTTTGCCTGGGCCTGCAGATTGACACAGCTTGATGGTTGAGGCTTTCTGGCTTCCCTCAGGGCTGCTGCAGCGTGGATGGTGGCCGGCTCCTGTGGGAACAATTGGCAAGCATTAATGAGGTATGGCTACCGGTGTGGGCCCCCCCCCCGCGGCCTACCTCCCCCTGGAGCACCCCCTGCGGTCTCCCCTGCTGCCTCCCATGCGGTCCCTGCCCCTGGGGGCCGCACCAGCACTGGCAGGCTCTCCCCTGATCCCACTCCTCGGGCCCGGTTGATGAGGCGGAGCCCGGGCCCGAGGCATCAACCAGGCCTACCAACTGGGGCCTGGATTTGCGGCTTTTCTGCGGCCGCGCGCGTGGCACGGCCTTCTGCCACGAGGCCTGCCGCGCGGCCAGCCGCCTCCATTGCCGCCCGGCCTGGTACTCCCAGGCCGGGGATGCGGCCTCCTACCACCGCGCGGCCTGCTGTGTCTATGGCCGCGCGGTCCCTGACTGCAAGGCCGGGGATGCGGCCTGCTAATGCCGCGCGGCCACCTGGGGCGTCTGCCGCGCGGCACACACATGGCCCCCCCCCTACCACACCATCCGCCCCGGCCGCCAGCGCTGGATTGCGGGCCGGGGGCGGTGGGCGGCGGATTCAGCACTCCGGGCGGCCGCCCGGCACCAGGGGTTGGGGCAGTGAGTAGGCCCCCGCGGGCCGCACGGGGTACCTTAGTACCGCCGTTTGGGATTTGGGGGGTCTCTTTGCCCATCGGGAGCCTCCTCTGCCAGTGAGGAAGGCTCCCAGGGTGCTGTCTCCCCTTCTTCTCCCAGGGGACCCAGCTCTCCCTTTCTTGGGCCCCCTGGTCCCCCCTCCTCTTCCCCATTTTCTGCTTCCTTCTCCCCCCCTCTCTCTCCTCTAGTGGGCCTGCCCTCTCCCCTCCTTTTTCCCCCTCCTATTCTTTCCCCCTCCCCTGGGTCTCCATTCCCTCTCTGTCTACCTCTCTGTTATCCCCCCCCCTCCTCTTTCTAGCCTGCACCTCCCCCCCCCTTATCCAGCCTTGTTCTCTTTCTGTCCACCCCTCTATGTTCTCCCCCCCCTCCTCTATCTAGCTGCTCCCCCCCCCTGCTGGTCACTTACCTCGGCCGTCTCCTCTGGGGCGTGGGCTCTCCTCTTCTCCACTGCTCTCTTCTCTGGAATCTGCTGCAGTTCGTGGACCCGTCCAGCAGGTGGCGCCTGGATCACAGCTGTTGTCTTTTATGGATGCTGGTACTGTTGTTTCTTTGCCTCGTCCTTCTGCGTCTGGTGAGTACTTTCCCCCCCTTTTTTAGCGCTTCGTGTGCATACGTTGTTCCTTCGTCGTTCAGTCTTGTCTTCCTAGCACGGTAAAAATAATAGGAAATACAACAATGATATATAAAAAAAAAAAAATAATAATAATAATTTGCAGTACAGAAAATAAATTTGTGTCAATTACCGCATGGAATGAATTAAACGACAGCCAGATAACAGAACATACAACCGTGATTTAACTGTCAAGTACACGGTGATGGATGATCAACCCCCAAAAAAAAAAAACACGAGGAAAGTCTGGGTACAAGGACAGCGCTTTCCCCCCCTTCGTTTTCAGTATGTCTCATTTGTTAGGTACCAGTGTCTGGCGCAGCGGATAGCGCCGGCGGTGCCTCCCAGGTTCGCATGACTCTGGGTGTTGCTGAGCTAATATGGCCCGCTTGGCTTGCGCGCACTACTAGGGAGCATATGGGGGAAGGGGCTTTATTACAGGTGTGTTCCCTCCTGCCACGGGGGTCCCTTGGCTAAGAGGGACATTAGGGGCTCCACGAGGGTCATGGGGAGCATGCTGTGGTCGGTTGCGCCCCAGGGTGCATATTCGAATGCACCCTGTGTTCTGGATAGCATGGTCGGGGAGAGGGCTCCCCGAGAATGCGCTGCGTGGTTCTGCGGTCAGGACACTTCCGGGACGCATATCATCCCTGGGAGGAGCTGGGTTGGTGGAGGTACGTTTTGCGCTTTCATGGCGGTGCAACCCTTCTTGGCCCGGGGCCGGATGGGCTTCAGCCTCTGGTTTTGCTTAGGACTCGCCTGGTGCCTCTCTGCAATCTGTTGGGATGGGGACTTGGTTGCTCTCGGTGCGGGACCCTCAGTCCATGTGAGAGCTCCTTCGGGTGGTGCGGGTCCAGTTTACCACGCACGCTCGCCTAGCTTACTTCCCGCTCGTTTACGGTGCCCCTGGAGTCCGCTCTGCGGGTCCCCCCGTTGGGATGTGGTGCCCATGGAGGAGCGGGGTTGATATCCCCCGATTCCTTATTTACTCGGTTGTCGTTTCCTTCGAGGGCTGGGTTTGAGTTGGTGGCTCGGCGCAGTGGTCTGCGTGGGTGGGGCTGCGGGGCCCTGGGGCCTTGCTGACGAGGCTGCCGGTACGCCCGTCGAGGTGTGGTTTCCGGGCTGTGTTTCTGACGGTCAGGATTAGGTGGCTAAAGTGCCTCCATGTAAGTTGCTCCCGATGTCGCTTATGTGTGGGGCCGTCAGTGTCGCATGTGCGCACTCTGCTGCTGCAGTGTTTTTCTTGGGGTAGTGTTTTGTTTGGAGTTTCGGAGTTCCGGGGCCCAGGCCTTCTCCGTGGGTCGGGATGTGTGCTCCTGTCTCCTGGATAGTGGGATCAATTCCTGTAAGGGGAACGTCGGTGCCCCTGGCTGCGGTTTTGGGGCGTCAGGCAGGAGGCGTCGGTGGTTTGGAGGGGCGTTGTGGCTTTTGGCTGCGCTACCCGTGGTCTCTCTTGGGTACGCTGGGCTTTGCCTATTGGGGTTGCCCTTGGGACTGTATGGGGGTTCCTGCTGGGCCTCCTTTACCACTGGCTCGTGCAATCTGGCCCCCTGTGTCCTTTCCGCTGGCTTCCAACAGTTTTGCCTGCCGCAGCAGGTTTTGGGGTTTTGGGCCATTTGGGCTCTCGGTGGTGCTGTCTCTTGCTCAATACGCTGGCTCTGGCGGACTCTGGTGTTCTTGGAGGTCCCCCCTTTCTGGTGGCATGGTAGGCATGGGTTACCCGGCTCACGAACGGGTGGGGGGTTTTCCTTGGGGACCATCGTGGGGTGCTGCTGGCTGTTTTTCACATGTGACAGTACCCTATACCCCGGTGGTACTTTGGTACTCTGGCTCGGTGCTATTTGAGTCTAGAGGCGGCTGGTCAAGGTTTTTGTCCGGTTGTTGCCGATTTGGTGGCCGATGCTCTGTCTTGTTCATTATCGAGCCTACTTCAGGTGGTGGTGTCACGGGGTCTATTTGTAAGGCAGTAGAGGTGTGGTCCCTTGGTCCGACGGTCTGCTGCAGCTGGTCTGTGGGCGATCTCTAGGGCGGTGTGGGGACCGCTCCAGTAAGGTTGGAGTGTTCGGGACGGTTGGGTACGTTTTCCTTTTGGGTCCCGGGATTGGTCTGCTCATCTACATGTTTGGTTCCGTCTATTGCGGGCGTTGGGGGCGATTTCTGCGATTAGCGGGGCTCGGCTTCCCGTTCATGTTACGGTAGTCGGCAAGTGGGAGGGTGTTTTGGTGGAGTTGAGGGAGCGTTGGAACGGACTTCCTTCAGGTTTCGCAGCTCGATGGCTGTTGTCGTTGGGAAGGGTAGGTTGGTTTGAGTTTGGTTGTTTCATCGATAGAATCTGTTCAATTCTTGGATGTCGCGGGTTTGACTTTCTGCATTCTCCTGGGGTTGGTGGGATGCACGGGGTGATGGTTGGGGCTCCTGCCATGCGGTAATGGGTTTCCAGGATGGTCTGTAATATACCGTTCCGATCGGGGGCGGTGCAGGGTTCCGTCATTGGCCTGTTTTTCATTGGGAGTACTGTTCCGTCCCTTGGATTGTTCGGCCTCCTCCCCTGTTTGGTTCTCGGAGATGGGTTTTCCACCCCCGCGTCCATTTAGTTGGGGTGTTCCTCTTGGCGGCTCGGACTCCTGGATAAGGATGGTGGGGTTTTCAAGGGGCATTTAATTTGGTTGGGGCGGCTACGGACACCGCCAGGCTGGGCGTGCCTGCGCCGATGGCTCAGAGGGCTCGAATGGTGGGAGTCAGGGTGGTGGGTTCCTTGGGTTAGCCTTGCTGGTCTCTGCTTGGATTTATCTCCGCGTTTACGGTTCTCTCCCCCCCCCACCCCCCCGGACTGGGGAGGGCGGGGTTTTCGTGGGTAAGTTGGAAAGGGAGGCAGGGGCGAGTGGTTGGATCTTCCTCCTTCTGGGGCGGAGGTTCGGTGGTCTGGCTCCGGCTACGTGAAAGGGGTGTGGCTCCTCCTCATACAGGGTCAGCTGCCCCGCCTCATGGGGTACCAAGGGTTTTGTCATCCCTGGGTGGAATGACATGGGCCGGTGGTGGTTTAGGACTTGGGTTCTCTTCGATCTGGACATGTTACGCATTACGTTTCTTCCCCGAGGTTCTCAGGGGCTAGGCTGTGCCTATCGCCCCTTTTCTGTTGGCAGTGCACTCCGCAATGTGAGTGCCCTGGTGCGCTGCCGTCGGTCATCAGACTAGATGGGTTTCTAGGTTTGTGGTGGCCATAACTAAATGACTAAATACATAACTGGCAAAATGAATATATAAAACATAAACACTTCCAGTTCGCCTTTTGGGTTTGGCCAAATGTGGCCTGGTTTTCTCGTAGAGTGGGGTGCGCTTGCTGGAGGTCGGACTTGGCCTCTGCTGATCTAGCGCTGCAAGAAGTGGTGGAACAGGCCATGGCTGGTTGTGGTGGGGTCCCCCGCTGATTTTAGGTGTAAAACAGCGGGGTTGTGGCGGGGGTATGTCCTTGCCAATTGAGTTTGAGGTTACGTTTAAGGATATGGAATGAGATGAACAAGTTTTTTAAGGTCTCAAACCTCCCCTGCTTCAAAGGTTAAACTTTAGGTTGCCTGAGGTCTCGTGCCCATCGAGCGTGGGTAAAGTCGGCTGATGGCAGGCATTGGAAATATATGATTTTTATGACGAGGGGGGAGGTGAGAGAGAGTGGTGATTAGGAACCACTCTATGTTTATTGGCAAGGACGGTTGGGTCACTGTATAACACTATGGGTGGAGTTATATATGTATATATGTTAATTTATGCTTATTTATGTCTAACGTTTTGGTTACAGAAAAGAAGAGATTTAATAAATAAAATTATGGATGTGTTATGCAGTAATTTAGTTTGTGATAATAAATGCTGTGGCCTGTTTCATCCATACTAAGTGGTCTGTCGTTATTGGGGGGGTTGAATGGGGTTGGATTTTGTTCTAGGCTGCATCACGATTCCCCACTACGTACATACAAGGCCCTGGGGAGATAGCGCAGCTAAGCGGAC